AAATAAAATAAAATGCATGCAACTCCTTTGAGAAGCTTTCTGATATTTGTATGCAGTAATGACTTCCATAAGAACTACATAAATGTAAGAGGCTCTTACTCTTACTATGGCAATCGTGTTGGGTTATCTTTTCCAAATTTTGTAAACAGTAGACTCAATAATTCACACGCGGAGTTTACATTTCTATGGCTGAAGTTTTCATTGTGTCCTAGCTATTCCGAATTTTATAAGCGTTAAATTGAATGATTCACGTGCGGAGTTTACGATTCTAGAGCTGAAGTTTCACAGTAATTTAATGTTTATAGCAATTGCTTAGAACATTTCTATAGAATTAAAGAGTGTAATTGCTTACATTAACCGGCCAACATTTTATCCTATTTAAGATGACGGTACTATCTCCTTTTGCACCAGAAAAAAGAGAAACCATAATGTTGATCTCATGGTCCCCCTCTCTGTTTTTCCTCCTCTTCCTTCTAATCCTTTCCATGCTTCTTCTCAAGAACAAGAAGAAAAGAGGAAGGATGGGTTTCAAGCTCCCTCCAAGCCCTCCAAAACTCCCCATCATAGGTAACTTGCATCAAATGGGGAATTTGCCTCACCAATCACTTCAAAATCTGTCCAAAAAACATGGTCCAATCCTTTTACTACGATTAGGTAGCATAGAGACTCTGGTAGTTTCTTCAGCTGAGGCAGCAAAAGATGTCCTCAAAACTCATGACCTCGATTGCTGCAGCCGGTCGCCTTCTCCTGGACCAAAGAGGCTCTCTTACAACTACCTAGACGTAATATTTTCGCCTTACGGGGACTATTGGAAGGAGATGAAGGCACTTTTCATTTCCGAGCTTGTTAGCATGAAGAGAGTAAAATCCTTTGCTTATGCAAGAGAGGCTGAGGTTGATAAATTGATCAACACCCTATCACAAAATTCCCACACGCCGGTCAATCTCAACGAGAAGCTATATGGCCTAGTAGATGGTATTATCGGCACTGTGGCCTTTGGTAAGATATACGGAACAAATCAATTCAAGAGTGAAGAATTTTATAATGTTCTTAATGAGGCAATGGAAATGCTGGCTAGCTTTGCTGCGGAGGACTTTTTCCCATCAGTGGGAAGGCTTGTGGATGTTTTGACAGGACTCAAAGCTAGGCGCGAGAAGAGCTTCCGAGGGCTTGACGCTTTCTTCGAATCAGTGGTTGAGCAGCATCTTGATCCTACCAGGCCTAAACCCGAACACGAAAATCTTGTTGATGTCCTAATTAAATTGCTGAAGAAGCAAAGTGCCAGTTTCAGTTTCACAAAAGACCATGTTAAGGGAATACTTCTGGTATATTGTTTCTGCTTTACTCCCTTTGAATTAATATCTCCAAGTTCTTTCTTTTCATGTAGATGCAGTCCAAATCTTCACCGATGTCTCTAGATATTCAACCCTTTTGTCCTGTTTCATCCTTAGTAATAAGATTTTTAATTCTTTTAATTTACTTTTCAGGATACATTTCTTGGTGGGATAAATACTAGTTCAGTTACCATATTATGGGCAATGTCAGAGCTGATCAAGAATCCAAGAGCCATGAAGAAGGTACAAATTGAAATTAGGAGTTCTGTTGGAAAGAAAGGAAAGGTGGAGGCAGAGGATGTTGCAAAACTAAAATACCTAAAAATGGTGGTTAAAGAAACCTTCAGGCTGCATCCTCCAGCTCCTCTGTTAGTCCCACATGAGGCAGTGCAGCAATGTAGAATTGGAGGTTTTGATGTGTTTCCCAAAACAAGAATCTTTGTTAATGTATGGGCTATTGGGAGAGATCCAAATTCATGGGAAAACCCAAATGAGTTTTACCCCGAAAGATTCGAGGGCAATGATATTGACTTCAAAGGATCCAATTATGAGTTGCTGCCTTTTGGAGCTGGTCGAAGAATTTGCCCTGGTTTGGCCATGGGAACCACAAATGTGGAGTATGCACTTGCTAACCTATTGTATTGGTTTGACTGGGAATTGCCTCGTGGGATGAGGAGGGAAGATATTAGCATGGAGGAAGAAGGTGGGCTCGTTTGTCAAAGGAAGACTCCCCTTTGTCTTGTACCAGTTAGTCACTGTTTGCAAGATTAGAAGTCTAAGATTCCAAGAGATCGATTAATTATGTTTTTCTATTTACTTAGCATATTGTTTCTTTTATTTGTAAGCACTATTTTCTACGGAGAGTGAAGGTTGAATAAAGAGAGATGCTTGTTTGTGATCCTGTACAATATCAAATTTAAGTTGTGAAAAACTTCTTCTAGTCACATACTTGTTCAATTCACAATGACACAATTGAAAAACCCAATGAACAAAACAACAAGAATGAAATGCATAAATAGCCTTTCCTTTCCCCAGTCTTCCCCGATCTCCTTGCAGTTCGTAGTACTACAACAGGCTTACTATGGCTACGACTGTTTTTGTTGCTAACCTTAAACTTAAAATCGACATTTAATGCAGTTATTACATTTTATTATATATATTTTAAATTTTAAATTAAGTAATTTATGAGTAGGTATGTAAATTAGAGTTCAAACTCTTTTTTTTTTACCAAACTTAACATTGAATTTGAGTTTGATTCATTTACCGCAAGAGTTAAACTCAAGTCAAGTTTAATTTGAATAATTTATGAATTACTTGCATACTACTCTATTCATCTAAGCTGTAGATGATGACACTAATATTACCTATGATTATTGTTGGGAAGAGGGGGGTGGGGCAAGTGAGAATGCTAACCATTTAAATGCTGTTATGTGAATTTGCTAATAATGTTTGGAATAATTATTTTACATGGTGGGGTCTTGATTTTGTTTTGGTGGATAATTGCAAAAAGTCTTTTAGAGTTTAAACAGCATGCATATTGATTTTGTTTTGGTAAATAATTGCAAAGAGTCTTTTAAAGTTTAAACAGCATGCATGGGATTAGTCTTAAAAAATGTGCAAATGTGCAAATATGACTTTGAATTTCATCTTAGCTATTGCAACTCTAAAATTCAAGTTGTTATAAGTGTTATTTTAATGAACCTCTATATCAAATAGGCCCTTAGATCCCTTTCCATTGCCATTCTCAATCATAGTTCAATGCCCTACAAAGAGCAGTTTAACAGATTGAATTGGGTCATAGAGAACCCAACCTTGATCATATCCTCTTGTGTTCTTTCTTCTACTTCTTGTTCAGCAAGTAAATAGGGCGTACGTAACTCAAAATCAGGAGGCTTTTATGAGTTTCACATGTTCATTCTACCATTGCACCAGAGGAGCAAATTTATCCGAAGGATCATCCAATGACCAGAGTAGATCTTAGTGAAATGGACAATGACACACCCTTAATTTCCTACTTGACTGTATAATTTATACTCCAAAGTACACTAACGTTAAAGATGCAAGCATGACTGGGGAGGACCTGCCACTTTATAACATGGATTAGTCTTCCAATGCATAGCAAGTTCAATGGACCTTTTAACTTGGCCAAGACTACAAGTAGCTAGAAACTAAATTTGATGAGTACAGAGTATTTAACCATCAGGCAACATGCAAATTGCACACCTTGTCCACGATCTTTGAGTCAAAAGTTTATTCAGAAATATTTTCATACAGAACCACAACTTGCCATCTTAAATGGAAAATCAGAAACTACAAGTACAATGAAAACGTCAAAGGCGTAGATTTATATGATGCCATAGTAGAGCAGACCTCAAGTTCCAAAAAGCTTTTGAATCAGCAAACTGGAACTCTCTGAGCCAATCTTCTAATGGCAAGCTCTTTACATATATGATGAAACCAAACTCAGAAGTCTGCTACTTAAATCAGCCCTCATATCCTTTAGTACTTGCTCAACTTTGACAAAGCTCACTTAGCAAATTAGTGAGTCAGATGTTCTTGAAAGGCATGAGTCGGCTTGATGGTTCGATTACCATCCAAAACCTTGGGAAGAACTCTATTGTTAGGAGAATGTTTAGCAAAACTGGAAAAGGATGACGGTTTAAGTGTAGTATTTTGGAAGCATACGTGGTTTCTGTTTTTTCATTCTTGAACAATGAAGGGAAAATTTATCGATCCCATTTCACTGATGTAATGGTACAATTGACACCTTCTAAAAGGAATCTTTTTTTTTCCCCCTCTAAATGGAATTGACATTGTCTGTTCTGTTATGCCATTTTGGATTTTGTTCTTCTTACTGGTGGAGGTATTCTGTTTTGATTTGTTTATGAAGGTCAAGAAGATTAAGAGGGAGAAAAGGTTATTGTAGATCATAACCTCAATATTAATTATGACATCCTAAAGGTGGCGATGATGATTCAATGTACACCAAGTTACTAGTCAATGTAACATGCTTGTTTCTTGCGTTTTACCGTAAGTACCAGATAAGGAGAACAAAGAAGAAAATGTTTTTCATCTTTTGTACGATGCATCCATTATTGCTTGTCTGTAAAAGCACTCCTTTATGCCCTTTGTATTTTCGATGTCTAGTATTTATTTTTCTCAGAATACCTCCACAATATCATTCTAGGATGGAGATAGAGCCATATTCCAAATTATCAAATTTAAAAGCTTAATCGAAGCTACAAGTTTGTAGCATGAGCTTTGAAAACTCCTAAAGGCAAAGAAACTTTTAAATAGTTAAAAACATTTTAAGTAAATTATATAAACTTGGTGTTTTGCAATTGAAAACTATTATATATGGAGATATGGTCCTAAATAAATTGAATTACTCATAAGTTATTTGATTCAAACTTGAGTTGGGCTTGACTTGAGTTTGAGTAAAAATCAAGAGTGAGTTTGAGCTTAAAACTAAGCATGAGAGATCAGTCAAGTTCAAGTTGGATTCAAGTCTCAATTTAAACTTGACTTAAATGTATTAGAAAATAATTATATATATCAAATATTTAAAATTTTAATTTTAATTTAATTTAGATCTTAACTTAAACTCAAGTACTCTATTGAGCTCAAGTTTGAGTTATTTAATCATTATAAAAATTGAAAGTCAATTCAATTTGTTATTATAACATCAAATGTGAATTTAAATTCTAAAAAATTTAATTATAACTCGACTCATTTACAATCCTATTATTTGGAGCAGCTTCATGTACCTTTCCTTTGTAGATGCTTGTACTCTAACCATGATTTGTTTATTTTGACTGTTTGCAAGTTTGTCACTATAGTGTTCTTTTTGCTCAAAAATGAGCTAGCTATTATTATTATTATTTTTTTTTTTTTTTGTTAAAAGTTAAGAAAGAGATGATATATATTAATAATAGAGAAGACCCACAATGTATCATTGCTTGTCATATAGGCCGTACATAAGATCTATGACAACAATTATTATCATACTTCCAATTAATCTAGTTAATATATTTAAAAATTAACAATCAAATACCTATATAAATATTATAGTTAAACTTAAACTTGAGATATAACAATTAAGCTATTTTCTAATATAATTTGCCTATATAGAAGGCAATGGAATGTAACTATAAGAGTTACAAATAAGGCCGCATAGTATAGAAATATTACTTTCTAAACTTCTTTAGGCGCGACTGGGTATATAAGACTAATTTCCAAGATTCTTTAGCCATTAGGTAATCTCATTGTTGTACCAGCATATGAGAGAGTGAGCAACTTAGTAGTACAATAGTCCCATCCATACTATCTTACTAATATTTATATTCCACCAACTGATAGGCCATTCCCCAAAATTTAGTTTCTTTTTCCTCTTCATGTGTGATCATATCTTGTTCTTAGAGAGAGTATGCTTCAATCGAAGCCGTAAATGAAATTTCTAAGAATTCCACGGGAGCAAGCTTGATATCTTTGTCTAATCAATATATTAGAACATCCCATCTCTCCTATCTTCAACCATAAAGCATCATGAAGCCCATAGAAATTGTGCCCATATATATGTATGCTTATATGTAAAAAAAAAAATGTTCTTGTTACCATATGCATGCTTATTTGAACAAAGGAGGCTCTGTAGCGACAAAGAAACATATGGTACCCCTACAGCTGTCCAACAACCAGCCTTCCACAAAGGTCCGATTTTTTTTTTTTTCTTGGGATTAGCCAAAACGAAGGTTAAATTCAATGGAGTACAAGAGTACTCTGCTTATATTGGACAGAATAAGTTACATTGCTTCAAGTGTTAAATCAAACCTATTCAAGACATTTCATCACACCTTCCAGCTATAGGTACAATACTCTAGATCTTAAGTCTCCTTGCCATCCTGCATGCCTGGGCTGGAGCTATAGCCATAAATCTTTTTATAGTTCAGGCCATAATCTAGCTTTCAACCACAAAAATGATCGAAACTTGATTAGCTCAAAAATATTGCTAAAAATGTAAGTGTTTTCCATAAATATCTTTTGGTTCCTCCATGTCCACAGAGACCAAATGGTTGGAAAGCAGACCACCAGCCACACTTGCTTTAATTTTCCTTCAGGGAATAGTCCTGTGTGCTGTTGTAGATGTTTCCAGCCTTCATGATGTTGAGGTACTGCAATGCCCCACTAATAAGCTTCGTCTAATAGGGGGTGCAAGGCGGTCACCAACCCTCAAAAGTTTTGTTGTCATAATGCTAGATGGACCCGCATTTTTCCACAGTGGACGTTGAGAAAATAATATTAAATCGGTGATGTTAAAATGTTTTCTTCATACTCTGTTTTGTTTAACTCTTTCGATTGAGTTCGATTAAATTACTGTTGATTTTTATTTAGTTTTACTGAATAATCTTACTTTTTTATTTTTTCTTGTTCCTTGGGTTAACTTGTTTTATTTGTTTCATTTTTTTTTTTTTTAACATTGAGAAATTAGGGAAAGGAGAATTACATTATAAGGATTTGAACCAGAGAAATATCCATGGTTTGAGATGCACGCTATCATTGCAGCCGCTGCTGCAGGTACTCACCAGAAAATGGCATTTGCAATGTAACTCGAAGTCAGTGCTTGGTTGTCCTTTTTGTTAGTATAGTTCCTTTAATCAATGAACCATGTCTCCAAATATTTTGTATATATAAAGTGTTTGATAGATTAGGTAGAGTTGTTAGAACAAACACTACTTAATGTTTTACCGTTAGCACTAGATTATCTGATTTTATAATCTGATATATACAATCAATTAGTAATAAAATACTGGTAAAGAAAAACCAGAAACTGAGCTCCCAGCAGCGAGCCAGTCTTCATCTCCATTTCTTCTTGTTCTTTTTTCTGCCAAAAACCAGTAACCACACCAACACATCCGTTTTTTCCCTTTAGTTATGGAAAGAGGGTAAGAAGTTCCTTTTCGATTTGAAGTGAATTTTGCATTTTGTACACCCCAAATTATATATTTTTAAAATATATA